TACTGTTTTTCTTATACATTTTATTGTTGGATGTAACTGGGACCCTGTGTACATAATTTCGCTCCACCACATGTACCACATGAGGTGCGAATGACAATAAAGAAACTCTGACTCTGACTCTGACTCTGAATTTCCGCAATACATGTTGCACCACCCTTAAGTCGCATCAGTCCAAATATGTCTAATAAAGTGGAAAAATCCATAAATAAGTCGCTTCGCCGTATAAGTCCCATTTATTATGCGTCACGTTTGTTACGCATCACCGCTGACAACCCGGAAATGTGGGCCGGTGTTGTGCCAAAAATCGATTATCTGCAAAATGGCGGCCACAGGAACGTGCACGGGAGGACTTTAACAAGAATTAAACAAGAATAACACTTAAAAACAATTATTTGTTTGCTCAAAATTATAGTAAAGGTTTAACTTTTACTTAATAAATGCACTTTGACAGTCAAATCAGCTGCATTTCAAAACCCAATTGGCGGAAGCGCAGAGGGATGAGTCGAGGTGCATTTTTTCAAAATTTAACAAGATAAGCACCTAAAATAATTATTTGTTTGCTCGACTTTATAGTAAAGGTGTGTCTCAGCTGAACTTTTACTTAATAAATGCACTTCAATGGTCAAATTAGCTGCATTTTGCCAGGGCGGCACAGCGAAATGAAGCTGATTTGACGGTTGCTCCTGGTGAACTGGACGAAACTGGGAAGCCGTGACAAGCTGATTCTGTCATTAATAGCCACTTTTACCTATTACATGACACAACAGCATGCTGAAAATGGCAGTGTTCAATATTTTCAGTCAGAATGAATGACAACGGTCATATCTCAGCCAAATACTGGTTTATAAATATGAGAAAAAAATCCATAAATACGCTGCTTCGGCGTACAAGTCGCAGGGCATACAAATTATGAAAAAAAAACACGACTTATGGGGCGAAAAATATGTAGTTCACACTGCCTGGCTTAGAAATTCCAGTGTTTGACTGCGAATGTAATAAATTACTGATAGTTCACCTTGAATTGAGCCGAAATGGTCCCAGCAAAGCTCCCAGAGCACACATGGGAAGTCCCGTCTGGGCAGCTTCGAACCATTTCACTGCCACTTCGCCTGAAAGAAGAATGTAGAGAAAATGCTAAATAAAAAGTGAGAAAGAAAACCAAAAAACTTCATTCAGAAACTTTTTTTTTTCACTCCATGTATCATAGCAGAAAAAAAATCTCTTGACTGAACTAATACTGCTAACAAGAAAAGGCCCAAGCTATCATGAGTAATGATTTCTTCAGAAGACTTTGTCAAATTGGCTGCGCTGACATTAAGGGTTCACAGGTCATGGTTGCTCCGAGATATGAGCCTGACTCACCCAGCATGTTGGTGGGCATGCCCAGTAAAGTGTGCAACAAGTCGTGCACCTCTCTGTATCTCAGCATGACGTAAGACAGCTCCTCGTTGTCCACAAACTTCACCCCTGCCCTCGAGTCGGGCGTCACATTCTGTCAAAGTAAATCGCAACATGTAACGGCACAGATGTAAATTATGGAGCAAGTTTCCACCAAACCGAGTTTTACGGCACGTCAGCAAACACCCACATTGTCCTCCAAAAAACGGAGGTACTCTCTCCCAAAAGAACCGTCAGGCAGGGAGGCCATCTTTGTCAGGTCCAGTGTAGACAGTCGGATCTTCGGCCTCTCTCTATAACACCAAATGATAAAAAGCAAGACAACGTTAACTAACAAAAATGTAAAAAAACCCCACTTTTTAAAAAGTTACCGGGTAGTATTAGAGACTCACGTTAGGACCAGGTAACCTTCGGGGTCATTTCTCATCCTGTCCCTTAGATTTATGAGCGCCAAGTGTCCGGTGGTCTCACCAAGCACCGCAACCATGTCTGCAACGTTCACAGAAACATTTATTTATTCATCCGACATTAAAAATATAATTATACAAAATGGAAAAAAGCTGTTTTTATTGAGTTGTTTAACCTAAATTCCTGTTGTTTGTCAAAGAATAACTTTAATTTATGTAAATGGTTTACAGTAAAAGCACAACTGTTTTAAATACACGATTTCCTGTACGGGGTTAAAATAGCTGTTCGGTGTCTGGGGTATGTTCCTGGGACTTTTTTAAAGCCTGACAACCTGTCAGTCTGCACAAACGTGATGTAATTTAACATTTTTCAGAGTGACATTTAATCTCGGTTTAACCAGTTGCTCGTTAAAAATAGGGAGTAAAAAAAACCAACATGATTTTTTCACACACCTCTCACCACGTGGCCTTAACCAGTGGCTAAATGTCAGCTGACAGGTGTTGAAACACTTTTCCTCTGTCAGAGTTTCAACCTCATGTTTCTCATACCATTTTAATCTCATTTCTGTTTCCAAAACAGTTCTGAAAGCCATAAAAACATCTCAGGAGACAAAAGGTTAGGAGCTCACTCAGGACAACTGCAGCATCTTTTACAAATATGAGAAAAAAAACTAAAGGGTGATTTGTGAGATGGTTTTATTTTCATATAAAGTGTTATATTATTCACGTCCTGAAGGCATGGCTGAGGAAAAAAAACAACAACTGCAAAAATCACAAAAAACAAACACTCAATACAGCTTTTATTCATACATGTGTAATGTGTCCTTTTAAAAAATAATAATTTTAAATAGCAAAAACACACAAAAGTTATAAAACTTATAATTTAGTAGTAAAGACCAGAACAGCAGAACTATCACTGTTTCAAAAACACTTAATAGAAATGTTGGACAGAGCTTGAGGAACATTTAGAGCTGCTACAAAATCACAAATATTACTTTTACCTCAGTTTAATGTTTCAATCAGTTCCATTATAATGTGCTTTAGCATTGCCACTGTATTTGACCTTACACCGTTACTTTATATAACTAATGAGCTTTTCGGTTACTTTTTTGGCATTTCTTTAGTAAGGAGTATTTAACTAGACATGTCGCAATAAACAATAAATCAATAATCGCATGATAAATGAAAATTATCGACCTCATTTTCATTTATCGGCTTTATTGTTTCTTCGTGTCTCTCTCTTTCTACTGAAGACACTCGATGACAAAAGGCTAAACTCCGGTGCTCTTCACTGACCCTTCCATTTCTCTTTAAAATTTGTTTTAACCGTCCAAAATTGTGTTTTCGGATCATTTAAAGCAGCTAAGCTGAGAAGCAAAGCTACAAGCTAAGCTAACAGGCCGACCTCAGGAAAAAAACTGTCGTGTCGAAGCGCCAAAATTCCCGGTTGAAACCCATGCCGTCGTGTAAAAAAGTTGTTTTTCTCTGCAAAAAGAAGCTGAGAACTTGTTTACTGATTTTATATTAAAAGCTTTGTGTGAAAAATGCTACTCTAAAGAGCTCAAACCACACCGAGCGTCTGCCATTTTGAGAACCAAAAAAAAAAAAAAGAGACAGCCCATGTCACGTCAAGGGGTCTCCCTCCCATTTTTCTTAAAGAGACACCTGCTCACTCCCTCACTATCCATCCTTCGGTTCAAACAGTCTGCCATCCAGTGGTCAAAAAAGGTACTACACTCAAAACAAATTAACCAACACTTCTTCTTAAATTTGACAATAATTACTAATTATTATAGCAATATTTTCGTTTATCGCAATAATATCTGAGACAATTAATCGCCCAGGTGCCTCCGATGAGGAGCTTTTTAAATGAAGAGTCAGAAAAGCGAGAAAAAAAGAGAACAATATCACAAATCTTTTCCTTAAAGTACTGAACATCTCACCGTGTCTGTAAGGGTTCTGCAGTGCCGCCACACCTGATCCAACAGCCAGCAAGGCTTTCTGGAGGGGGGTGGTGTTGATGTGACCAGGGTACAACTCTTCATAGTAGCTGTGTGTAAGCTGAGGACGGCCAGTGTGCAGCTGGACACACAACGCTGAGACAAAGGTGGAGTGGTGTTAGAAACTGGACAAAGTACTTATTTTATTAATGTGAAATAACTCAATCTCATTCATCTCTCATCATATTATCGTTTCTTTGTCAAGTCTGAGCAGTCAGAAATCATCCTTAGGGACAATTTGCACTTGACTGATTCAAACATTTGTGTAAAATAATAAAAGTCTTGATCCTCATTTATGAAATCTTTGCTATCAAGTAGCTCGACATTCGTACAATTTTTAAGTGACTAACCAGATAATCTCTTGAAAGTCCCTGAAGGTCTTTTGAAGTTTTGACTTTTGGTTGAAATTTCTTTATTTCGATAAAACTACTGAACAAAAATATAAACACTTTTGATTTTACTCTAAGACTTTTTTGATGCCTTTTTCTCTAAAATATTTCTCACTTATTTGTGTAAATCTGCGTTAGTGAGACTTGCCCTTTGTCGAGACGATGCATCCAGCATCACGCAGCACAATGCCACAGACTTCACAAGTTTTGAGGGAGCGTGCAATTGGCATGCTTGCATTGATTGTAAAATGAAACATTTCTACATTCGATAAGCATTGGGTTATTTTTCTTATTATCAATAATTTACTTCTCTACACAATGCTTGCCTACAAAAAGAAGACAAAAAGTAATATAGTCATATATTTTCTGGCTACTTTAAGTTTTAATTATAAAATAATCCTGCAGTTTTATATGAATGTGAAATGTCATAAATGCATATTTCTATTAAGATTTGCATGACTTTTTCCATCTACAGTAAATGGGAAATATCAGACTGCTGCAAAAAGTGCTCCTAGTTTTGGGTTAACATAGGAAACTAAAATGACAAACTAAAATATGAATAATTTTTAACAATTTTTTTTAACGTCTTGAGCCCAATGAATCCTGGTATTGACATCCTGGAATTTACTGGCGCAATTAAGACAGAAAAGAGCAAATTCATGAGACTACCCAAAGGATTGTGCAGTAAGCACAAAGGAAAACGTGCAACACCCATTGGTTTTTACTTTGATGTACTCATTTCTCTGAAACATGATGAATTAGGACTCCTCAGGCAAGATTTTTATTTATTAGTTCATTAGTACTCTTCGAAGCATCTTTATTAGCCTCACTAATAAATGTTTTTCTCATTGTTTTGTCCCAAAACATTGAATATTGCAATTTTGTTACTGTGATTGCTTTGATTAATTAACAATTTTGCAAGTTCCACTGTTAATTATTTCAAGTAAATGAAACTAAATCAAATTATGCACATCTTGGTCCAAGTTTTAATGTGTTGGAACGTTTCTAATTTGCTGTTTTCTGGACGCAAACTAACTTTTTAACTCGCCTGAAACCAAATAATGATGTATATAACCACATAAACATGGCTATTTTACAATAATTATGTTTACTCATTATTTAGGGTTCATTTTTAACTAGTTATTTTTTCTACTGATTTATTTGCCTAACTTAAAGTGAAAATCTTTTTGATTTAGTTGGTGTATTTATGAAGTGTATAAGCATCCTTTTACTTAATAGTTTATATGAGTTAATCATTTTAAACACAGAAAACAGCCTTAGCAGTCAAAGGCTGAAGGGTTCCCAACCAAATCGAGTGAAAGTTGCAAACAAAATATCAATTGTATTTTACTATTATTTTATGTATATTGATTTAAAAGATTAACACGTTTTGCTTATATTTGTTAGGGACCGGAAAAAAACAGTTTTAGTGTCTTTTAGGGAAAAAGGGGTGACATTTACTGATTAAGCCACAAATTAAGGGTTGCCAGATAAACATAACTACATGTTTTTACCCCCTCCTTTTTTCTACTCTGTGCACATGTTCACCAAACACAACACGTGTCTCATCTTACAACATCTTCTCTCAGCACATGTGAGAGTTTGGGTCAAAATATTATACTTTTAAACTTTAAAGCAACAGTACAATAGTTCATTATTGCTTATCTGGCAACCCGACTCACAGCATGCCAGCAGGACTGGGTGGAAGCTAACTTCGTCTAAGCTTAAGGTCACATCCTAAAAGCTAACTTATAAACACGGTAATTTAAATAATACATGGACAAATACGCAGAGAAGACCAATATAAGCGCGTACCTTTCGACTTTAAAGGGTACTGTTTGTGGTTTAGCCGAATGAAGGATTTGCAAAAACGTAGACGCATCTTTGAAAAGCGCGCATGCGCTGTGGCTCATTTCCGGGATTATTTTTAGCTGAGCTCTCTAAAACGAGCCGCTTTTTTAGACTCTGAAATGGCTCTTTGAGAACTAAGCCCAGTCAACTCATTCTGCCTGCCAATGAGTACGAATGACTGCAAATGTACAACGTAAAGAGTTATTAATGTTTACCTGATTTGAGGCATCACCTCCTCTTATCATCAAACAGTATTTCCTACATTAGAGTCCTCCCTGAGGATGGATGGATGGATTATACATGCTGATTGGTCCTCTGCATCATGAAGGACCCCACCCACCCAGCACACACACTTTTTGCCCCACTCCCCTCAGGAAGGAGGTTAAGGAGCATTAAGTGTAGAACCACTAGACTGAGGAACAGCTTCTACCCTGAGGCTGTTAGACTCATGAATCTCTAACTAGAATAATCACTGTGAAAAACCATATCATGTTGCTGCTGATCTGTTTCATGTTGCTGCTGATCTGTTTCAATGTTGATGTGTTCATGTGTGCACATCTGCTCACAGACTCATGTTCATGTTTGTGCTGATGTTCAATGTTTTATGTTATGAGTGCTTAGTGTATATTTAGTTGATGTTTTTCTTAGTTCATATCTTAGATGTTATTACTGTTTTTCTTATACATTTTATTGTTGGATGTAACTGGGACCCTGCGTACATAATTTCGCTCCACCACATGTACCACATGAGGTGCGAATGACAATAAAGAAACTCTGACTCTGACTCTGACTCCCTCGCTTCAGCATTACATCTAGCCAGCTCATGAGCCAGCTGACCTTCTAAACTTAGAAGGAAAAAAGATAGACAAAGTGTCTTTAGAGCTTTCTGCTGTTTGAATATTTGAACATGTACCAGTAAGAAAACCTGATGGCAAACATTATGAAATGTATTATTATTTATTATTATACAGGAAGGGCAGCACGGTGGCGCAACTGGTAGAGCTGCTGCCTCTCAGCGAGCAGGTCCCTGGTTCAAATCCCGGTCCGGGGGCCTTTCTGGGTGGAGTTTGCATGTTCTCTCCGTGCATGCGTGGGTTTTCTCCGAGTACTCCGGTTTCCTCCCACAGACCAAAAACATGCATGTTAGGCTGATTGGTAACTCTAAATTGTCCCTAGGTGTGAGTGAGAGAGTGAATGATTGTTTGTCTCTATGTGGCCCTGTGATGGACTTGCGACCCGTCCAGGGTATACCCCGCCCCTCGCACAGTGATTGCTGGACATGGGCACCAGCGACCCCCGTGACCCAAAATGGAATAAACGGGTAAAGAAAATGGATGGATGGATTATACAGGAAAATTACCTATTGATTTACATTAACTTAAAACTTATACTGCAACCAGCCACCAGGGAGCACTCGCTCTGTTTCAGCTTCAACTTCAGTTATGTTCCTTATGTCTAATCATGTAGATCAGGGGTTTCAAACTCACTTACAAAATTAAAACCTTTTTCAAACTAAGGGCTGGTTTCAGAATATACATTAACTCAAGTGAAGTACCCAACATTTTGTCCTGTTACTTGCTCCAAGGCCAAGAGACGCCTTTGACCCCACTCCCCGCCTCAGTGTTTATCATTCAACCTTTACTTAGACAGGTAAATCCCATTGAGCCTCGAGGACTCATTTACAAGAGAAACCTGATTTCAACAAAGAATGATGACAACAATGGACAACAGCGACAACAATAAACAGTTATAAAAAGTCACACAATTTTTGTTTTAACAAATAGGATGGCTAAAAAAAGTGAAAAGAAAAGTAACAAAAACAAGAAAAGTAACAATAAACAGCTAGATTACGTGTGTCTTATGAATGTACGAAGGCAGCCAGACCACGTCTCAGTCCCAGATTGAGGCATCCTGTGAAAGAGCCTTAAAATGATCAGACCGATTCGGATCACATCGTTCACTAAACGAGTCGATACTTTCAGCCGGCTCGGCTGTAACAGTTCACCCTTGAACCACGCCTCTTCCTGGCAGTGTTAACGGGGAAAAGTAAGCGAAACTAAAACAAAAATATACAGGATAGGACAATTTTTAAAAGAATCCTATATCTTAACCGAGTGTTTTTGTTTTTTCTTTAAATGTCAACACAAATGCTGCTTGGCCGAATCCGTGCTAATCGAGCAAGTTAGCAGTGAGCTAACTGACCGGCTAAACCAATAAACAGTAAGTTTCTGTTTAGCTTAGCTTCAAGGTTAGCAGCGCAAAGTTGAGGAAGTGCTCACGAAAATTAGCAGGACCGACTTAGTTACATCGTTTTCTTCTTACAGAAACAGAAGTGATAGACTATTGCACAGAAGTTATCAGACCTTAAAGCATGTACAGGGTTTTTTTTTTTTGTGGTTAATTTCTGCTGTGACCTGAGTTTTTAATCTGCTTTAGAACACGTGGTTGGTTGGGCGGTGATCTTTGATTATTAGCATATCACAAAAACTGATGCAGGGAGGCGCTGGCTGAAAGGCTGAAAGAGCTGTCGAATCTTGTTGGGTGAGTAAAGGGTCTTTTTATATGCAGGTGCACAGACATATTGAGCAACAATGACAGACAGACGGGGCAGAGGCTGTTTTCAGACTTATCCACCTCCAAACAGCTGCTAGATCATTTGTTTGTGAAGGCTGAAGGGACACTTTGGTGGTTGTATTTATCTTACAAATAGTATGTTTTGTGTGTTGTGATGCATTTGATTGGGAAGTTCCAGTTGAACAAAGATCATTCTAAAAAATAGTCTTTTTTTTAACATCAAATTGTGAATTTTTACCTGATAGTGGTTGTAAATTGCTTTAAGCTGTGTGTACTCTGCTTCATATTGGGAGTAGTGTTTTTGGGTGTTAAAGGTTTGTTCTGAATAATCAAGAAGTACCTTTTTAAAACAGGTTGGAGCTGCTTTTGAGATGACTGAAGTTACTAAAGAATGTCTTGAGTTTTATTGCTCACTTAAATGCTTTGAATTTTCACTCTAGAAGCATTTTGGTGAAGGTTTGGCGTAGGCATCTTCACAGGTCAGAATGTAGATTCATCTAACATTAATAGTGGAAACTAAAAGTTTTTATTGAGTGTAAATGCTACTGTCAGCTGTGAGTCTCATGATTAGTGTAAAACATTCATGTGCTTGATGGCAACATTGTACTTTGAAAGGGTTGCACTTGAAAATGTTTCATTTGTCTTCTTAACCACATAGAGGTTTTAATGACTTTTTTCTTGATATAAGGAAGAGTTTACTAGAAAGAGGATTTAGATATGTGCATGTCAGCAAAAAGTTCAAAATGTGGTATGAAGCATGTTTAACTCAAACTCTGTCATCTTATTTATGAATGTTGCTCTGTTGAGACCTGCTTTGGATTTAATCAGATGAGCTGGTGTTTTTTGTTTTTTAAGCTAAAGTCGATTTTCTTCATCCTTATCAAATTAAGAGTTGCATTAAAGTTGTGAAAAACACCCATTCCTGCAGTAATGTGTCAGTAAAACACGTTCCACTCATTTTTCCACAAGAGATGTCAAAAAACAAAGAAACACTCAAACATTTCCAAATAGAGGGATTATTTTTGACAAGTGAGAAACTATTACAACGCTGTTGCTCAGCTGAAGTAATCTCAAAGGTTTTGTTGAGTTCGATAAAGATTAAGTTATTGCCTTAACATGCTGCATATAAATAAATGTCATCAGCGTGAAGTTTGCACATTTCAAAGTCACATTATTTTCAGGTTTTTTTAATGTGGAAATGACAAACATCCTCATTTTGTCAGTCGGCTACCTTTCTTTTTTTTCCCGTTTTGTTTTTAGATTTCCTAGCAACTACTGGGAACGTCCTTTCTGCTCAATAAGAGCTCAGACCTGTTTATTTAGGTTATCACTCAACTATTCAAAGTGCAAAACAAGCAGATATTTATAAAAGTCTTATTTATGCTAGTAGGAGCTGGTGCAAAAGCTCTTAGTTTTTGTATAAAAACAATATGAAGTGTACTGGGTATGTGTTTTTTCGGAAATACAACCCAAAGATTTGTGGGACTTTAATACTGCAGAATCCACGCCATTAAATATTTGTTTGTTAAAACACATCCACCAGATGCTATCTTGAGAGCAATGCACAGTTCCTTCAAATAATGGCTGTAAAGGTCCAGTCTGCAGAGTAAGAATGCACTTTAGTAACACGTTTGGGTTTGTCCATTATGGGCTAACTGAAATATAGCACAAAATATAAAAAGTGTGTCATATGTAGATTGAAATGTTTCATTCCAAACACAGCAGCATTTTTGCTTTAGGCTAGAAGAACAGAAGCATACGAAGGAAAAATTTGGTAAATTTTTGCCCCAAATCTGCACAGTATACACCGTTTAAATCAAAATATATACGGTAAATGAAAATTAAATTTGTCTGAAGAGTTTTGTATCTACCACTATGTCCTTTCGGAACATAAACTAGAGCACCGTGACCCCTAGATGTCACTAAACTTAGCGTATCCAACATTTTTCAGTCAGGTCATCTGGACAGTTTTTTGATTATTGAGCATAGACTTTGTTGTTTTCAACCACTTTGACACGACTGTCAACAAGAAAGAGGGCCGGCAATGGAGGAGGGGGCGTGCCAAAAAGACCATCTTAGCACCAACAAAACTGGTTTGTTCCACTTTGGAGTAAGCTGTTGGGGGAAGAATCAGTTTTGTTGTGTGTTTCCTTGACTGATGAAGCCTTCTGGATTGAAGGTGAAACGTTTCAGAACAAAAAAAAAACTGTCCAGATGACCTGACTGAAAAATGTTGGATTGTATACCTGGATTATTGAGCATGGACTTTGTTGTAAACTAAGTGTAATTTGCTGATTTTATGTACTAAATGGAAAGCATGCGGTTGGATAGTTCGGTTTCTATCTTAGTATCTGATGCCAGCATGCATCAACATCTGGGTGGTTGTTCTTTCCGTAACGGTAATACCATGCACTATGTGAGAGGTTGCATGAGCACATCTTTTCTCTGGAACAGATACTGACAATGATAATGGTCTTTGTTTCCACCTCCATATTTACATTCATAACAATGGTATCAGCAGATGAACAGGTCTTTGATATCACATTTTTTCCCACTCACAATTTTTTTTTTAAAGTTAATTCCAAAAAGCAAATGTCCATTTAGTTTTTATGGTGTTATGATGAAATATTTCAACACAAACATGTCCTCTAGAGTTGTGTAAATAACAGGTTTTGCAGTAACCACTCAGCATTACTGTGTACCGGTAATTATTTACTTAGAGGCAGCTGACTTTAACAAGTACCTGAGGTTGTACACGTTGTGTCTTTCATTTGTTAAATTACATATTTTGAGGGGATTTCAGAGCTGAGGAACTATTAAGAAGAATTGAAATTCCTTTTGCAGCAGTGTCTCGTTGATTCCTTTTTTTTTTTTTTTTTTAGGTTTGAGTGTTTTCGTGACGTGGCGTTTAACAGAAGTTGATACAACGTTGCTTTTATCCACAGCTGATCCAGCATCACATTAATGGAGAAGAATGGCTCGCATCTCTTTGGACAGTCCAACCTCTTTACCAGGGATCCCTCTCAGTGTGCTGTCAGTGCCCATGGAGAATAAATACAAATGTCAGCAGTGTCTCCAGGTCCTGAGGAAACCTGTTCAGGCTCAGTGTGGCCACCGCTTCTGTGTACACTGCTTCAAGCAGCTCACCAGGTAGACCGGAGGTCCTCAGACCACCTGCAAGCGTTTGAAGTGTAAACCCCTTCTGCCTTGTAGTGCTTACCTTTTTTCCCCACTGGATATGCCTCCATACATCTTTTGTTCCTATCTCTGCTGAAGTTTTTTTGTTTTTGTATTTTTGCACCCAAAATCATTAACTTAACGCTGACTCATCCCTCACATGGCTGCTCTCTTAATTCTCATGTCAGTGAATCACAAGGATCCAGCCATGCACATGCTAACTGGCCTCGCTGACGCATTCTAAGGTGTTTAAGGTGTTTATTGTTTTCTTCTTTTTCTTTTCACATATTCACAAGCTGTTGACTATTGCATGAAAAATTCATTATTAATATTGGCTCATGTTTTTAAAATAAAGGTTATGCACAGTGGTCACACTCACTGAGTGGCAGGAAGACCCCTGACGATGACTGCAGTCTGTATAAACCATTAAAAAAAACTAATAACCTGAACAAAAATGGGTAAAGGTGGTGCGTAATGGGCAGTACAGACCAATTCATTTCGTAATCCAAGACCAGAAATGTGGATTTGCTGTTATCTCTGGTCTTGTTGTCATACCCATAGTTAACCTATTTGTTGGTTGCAAGGATTCTTGTCAAGACCAGCAACTTTGAATTTATGACCATATTAGCAGCACGTCTAATCCCCAAAATGTCCCCCGGGCGCTTTCAATAGCTGCCCACTGCACCACCTGGTGGTGGATGGGTTAAATGCAGAGACTAATTTCGCCATTGTATGGAAACATACAGTGCTGACATTGTGATGACATTATTATTATTATTATTATATTAATTCAGTGACCAAACAGTGTGAGCCATGTTGATTGTTTTGCCACCAGGGGGCATGTCCAGGTGACATGTACTACAGTGATATGGTTGTGTAACCTCTAAACCTCAACAGTATCAGTAAATATATGCACAGTATTATCTGCATGGTATCGGCCAGTATTGGCGATAAAGTTAAATTTCGGACATCGGCCATTCCATCAAAATAACTCACTGATATAAAAGGCGCTGTTTTTGTATGACAA